ATATTTGGGGATTTTAGCTTTAAAAAGAAAAAGTATGGGACATAAAGAAGTGCATGAAGCCAGACATTATGTGGAAAAATTATTTAGAAAACTTTTTTTTCTTTCTCCTACAATAGTAAAATGGCTGAAATTGCTATCACAAGGCATTCCCATATATTTTTATTTCTGTTGCTTAAAAATGAGATTTGACAGATTCTATGGTGGATAAAACTATCCGTGGTATTTATTGTGATTTAATAGAACATTGTCTTAGAAATGATTAATTTTTCTGTAATGTTTTTCAGTAGTTGAAGAATCTGCATACCGTGTCTAAGAGTGAAAGGATGTTAAAATAACATCTGAATTTTACATTTTCAAAATTTGGGTATCAATCGTGTTTTATTTTTTTCTTCTCAGCAGCCCTAGATATGTCCTGGATGAAACTATTTCAGTACCAATAGAGCATCATTTAAATTTCTGAGTCTTTCACCATATCTTATCATTAGAGTTATACAATTTTCATGGCTTCAGGATCAAGTTAGGTTGTTTTATTTCCCTCTCCCCATCTCTTAAAGATTTAGAGATATAAAAGCTTGCACATTTTTGTGACATTTGAGTTGGCTAGATAAATATAAAGACTGGGATTTCCTTATATTTCTTTTCTGTTGGCTAGTGGGGCTATCTTTGTATATTGTATGTATTTTCTTTTTAATCAATGAACATATCAAGATTATCAAAAATATATAGATTTTATAAGGGTTATCAAGAAAATATTTTATTAATTCCCATATTTTTCTAGGTTGCATATACAAAAATACTAAAAGTGATTAAAATCACATGTATGCTACTTCTGCCTTTCCTCTAGATTCACCTGGTATTCTACAGAATATGCTTCATCTTTGGTTTTGTGGAGTTGCTTTCTACCTTTTCCTGATGTTCCTGTTAGTCCTGATGGAGCAAAATATCAGGCCGCCCAATCAATACTGTAATTCTGCAGAAATTCTGTCTTGATCCCTGGAGACAAAAAAAAAGGTTTTGCACCATGTGGAACATTTTTGTTGGAAGAAACACAAATTTCTTCTTTCTGTCCTCTCTTCAGATTTATCAGAAAGTTTGTTGTGAAACTAAGAGCAGCTCAGAGTCCCTCAGAAAATGAGAGTTTGGAAGGCAGGGAAAAACGAAGGGGAGAGAGGCTACATGTGTTGCTTCAGGGTCCAAGGACAATAATAATAACTGGGGATATTATCTTTGCAACAAGAGAGCTGTGGCTGTTCCACAGCAGTTTTGAATTTGTGTTCTTTGGATAAAGAAAAGGGTAGTCAGGACATTGTCATCACAATATCTTTTGCCCTGTCTAGAGTCCATCCGGTGCAGTAAGAGCATAATGGAAAAGAACAGTAATATTGAACATGACATCATTGAGTTAAGGGAATCTGGGACAATTATTCATGGGTATGAGCCAGTTTAGTGTAATGGTAAAGGTGCTGGCCTAGAAATAAGGAAAAAGAGTTCTAGTCCTGCCTTAGGCATGAAAGATGGTTGGGTGACTTTGGGCCAATCATTCTCTTTTAGGATGATTGTTGTGGAGAAAATAGGAGAAGATGGAGTATTATGTGTATTGTATTCAGGGCCTTGAATTCAATAGCAGGACACAGATTACCAAATGCACATATAATATCAATAACCAAGAAATGTTTGAAAAGCTTTTGATTGCTGGTTTCCTTTGTAAAGAACTGCCATTTGTCCATTTTCACTATGTCGTGTTTGGTTTTCCCAAAGGGCAATTTCATTTGGTTCATTAGTCATGTTTATCATTTTCAATAAACTGTTGTTTTTACTAGAAATGGCAATCTTTAGTTTGTGTTGGAGACTGAGTTGCTCTTTTCCATCTGGATTGCTAGGGCTTTACAAAAGCTGGGAACATTTTCAGGAACCAAAGTATCAGTTGCATTTATTTGCAATGGTGAGTGTTTGCTCCAAAGTCATGCTTTGGTTTTGCTTTTAATAGCCTGGCATCCCACATAGCCAGCCCTTCAGGGAATACAGGTGTGACAGAGCCATCCAGTCTTCTGTCTTAAAATGGACCTAGTAACTAGCGGTTGTTAGGCAATGTGCCACTGATGCATAATGCAGAGAAGAGATGGCTGTTTTTAGTTTACAATAGCAGGAAAGAAACATTTCTGCAGCCGGCAATGCAATGGATGTGACATGGAAGCTGAAGGACCTATGGATAATGATAATTGTTGTATGCAACTTTTCTAAACTTGGTCCCAGTGTCTATTAGAAATTGCTTGGCATTCACTTTCCAGCTGTCAGTCTGTTATCAATTGAACAAAATGCCTGTCTATTTCAGTCTCTCTTTGGGAATTTCTTCACCCTTTGCAATAGTACCATTTAATTATACATATAGCAGCAGGCATTTGGCCTCAAAATTAATAGCTTTGCTACAATTGAATAGTGGCATAGTAGGTTCCCCCCCCCATTTCTTTTCCCTGCTCTGTATTTGATTAGAATCTTTGTAACAGTAGCCAGATTTTTAACTATATATTCATAAAAATATGATGATACCAAACTGCTGGGGCACAGGAGATTTAATGAAAGAACAGTATTTTTTTAAAAAAAGGTAAATCTAAGGCAAAATATCTGTTTCTACAACATTTGAATCTAGATACTGATTGAAAACAACTGAAGCCTAAGTCCAAAAAGCTTATCTCAGAAACTTGCCTAGATTTTAACACTTTCCAAGTGTTATAATTGGTATCTCAGACAGGTTTACCCCCCCCAAATGAATTTAGGTGATTTTTTTAATCTTCCAGAGAATTCAGCATTTATCCTGGTGGTCAAGCTCTGCCTTTATTGCTACTCTCTGCCAGCCATGGCACGAGATACTGATTAACTTGTCTTCATGGCCCCATATTAACCATGTCTGAAATATTCTGCATGATTAACCTATTAGATGCAATGCTTCTAGCATTCTCATGATCAGTTTCTGTTTGCTTTCTAGTATCCCCAAAGAAGTTAATGAGATTACTTGTGAAGATATAGTCATTAGCTAAAGCAAGATTTAGGGGTGCAAATGCAGAAATTGGTAAAATTGGTAAAAAAAACGTAAATGGTAAAGATTTGAGCCACTTGGGGAAAATTATTTGCTTAGTTTGGGGGTAATTTCCTTTCATTCTTTCTTCTAAGGGAGAATATTCATAAATGTCTATTAGTTGTTTCTATAAATGAAAGTTTACAGTAGTTGGAAACATATGTGGAATAAAGAAGACTATTAAGGGCATGAGAAGAAGCTCAAGATCAGGAAAGAAGGTCTGGGGATCAGGGACTATTAGCCACATTTACATACTTTGTATACTTTATAAATAAAATGGATGAAGATTTCTGTTTCATCTATTTAAAGATACAGTTATGGAGTTTGGACTAATCAGTCCAAACATCTTTGGATCAAGCTTGTAGGAAATGAGAAGCATCTAGGCTACCCTGCATAAATAAACAACTAAAGCAAGTTTAAAGTATTAAATTCTAGGAAAGATCTTTATATTTCTTCCAACAGGTACTCCCTGAAATTGTTGGAATGAGTTCTTTTGAATCCGATTTTTTGTATTAGTAGATTTGGAGGTCAAGCTCCTAATTCATAGAGAAAATTAGATTTGTCAAGAAATCGTAACGAAATGATGAAAAATTAGACTATTGCATCAGATGGCAACTGCTGTTTAGTAGTCAACTGAATTTTTGCAGTCCAAATTGAGTAACCCTATAAAAACTTCACTACAATAACTTAAAAGGTTTTCGAGGCTACAAATTAAGTTTTAAACTTCTTTTCCCTAACTCTGAATGCACAGTACTCACCGTCTCTCCAATTTCTTTTTCAATGTGCGCCCAGCAGACATGGTTTCTTTCTCATTTCTCTTCCACTGCTATTTATTCCCTCTCCTCCTACTATTCAGGGCTGTTTCTGTGCTCTGCATCTTCCTTTGCTTGTCCATCAGTGACAAAACCTGACATATCAATGGGCAGGCATTATATCCTATCTTGCCTAAGCAGTTGTTCGGGAATTTCCATGGCTGAAGGCTTTGATGTGATTTCTTTTCCTACAACATGAATCTGTACCAGAAACCTTGAAATGCATGAAGAAAGGAGTGCAGCACTCCATATGATAAATGAGATGGGAAACAGGGTGTACGCTGAAACATTCTTTACAAAACGACTCAATATTTTTATACAGGAAGAATCAAGAAGATACAGATACTTTAATTTCTTTATATGAATGTTTTCTTATAAAAGCCAAGTTCTGCAATTAATTTCTATAAACAAAAGTAGCTGTTGATAGCTCTGAAAGTGATCACAATTTCATATTCTCACCTTAAATATCTACACTTAAATTATATCAGTTCTTTCAATTCAGTTCATTCCTTTCTGCATAATATCAAATGCAGAACAAAATACGGCACTCCTTCCCACTCACATACTGAAGGGCAAATTGCATTTTTTCATTTTAAAGCTATCCTGTAGAAACAAGGTAACTAGTATTTCAAATATTATATAATGTATAATATATGACCTGATGCATGTACCCCCGTTAGCTAAAATATTTTATCAAGCTGTTTCTAGACCAGCCTTCCCTAATCTTTTACTTCTCAGATACAGTAGACTAACTTCTCATCACACCCAGCCATCAAGCAACTGATATTTTGAGTGAAAATTATGAGAACGATAGTCTCTAGCACATCAGGTTGGTAAAGGCTGTCTTAGATTTATTAAGGTAGTTAATTCCTCTGGCACCTATGTGTACCATGTTTGTGTGCATGTATATATGTAGAGAGGAAGAAATTTGTACCGTGATCAGAAATGTGAATAATTGGTTTTTGGGTCTATCTGATGGAAGACTTGTCCAGGGCAACCTCTTGACTTGGACTGTATGCTGAGAGGGTTATGTATACCACTTGAAGAGTGTGATTCTTTTTTCTCTCTTCTTCTTCCTTTACCCCTCTCTCTTCCCCTCTCTCTTCCCCCTCTAGTCCTGGACACACAACATCCAGCGAGAGAAGGAATTCCTGCGTAAACTGGTAAAAGCTCGAGTAATCACAGACCTCACCAGTGGAATCTGAAGAAAAAGCTCAGCAACTGTGCCAGAGAGCACAGCCAGGTGTATCCAGCTAAGGGCAAGGGCAGCAAGAGGTGTATAGCAAGAATCCCAGCTTCTTAGAGATGCCCTTGGATCCTCTCCCTGGCTTGCTTTGTCTGCCTATGCCAGGGCCAGCAGGAGAACAGCAGCTTTTGGTTTAAGAGGGCCGGGCCCTCATTTGGAACTGCAAGAGGATGTTTTGCCAGAGATAAAACATCGGCGGAGAGAAGAAAAATAGGCTTGTGAAACAAAATAAATGTGTGCCAAGTGGGAACAGGAGCCAGGCCAGTGGCAGCAGTGTTTGAATGTATAAGGCATTATTTTTTTTTTTTTAGTAGCAAGAGATGAGAATTACAGCAAATATATCAATGGGCACAGTGGAGCCTAGCCTTTGAACAAGCCTGGAGGGATGCTTTCATTAGTACTGCGTTTAGCCTGTCCCTGGGCCAGCTATGGCCCCTCTGCAGGCTCTCAGTTCATCCAAGGTTTGTCTATTGTTGGTGCTGCTATAATGTCAAAGTATTATGATCTCTGTTTGCTCTAGATGGAGCAAATGAGAGTTCTATTAGATCTTCAGACTCCCTGCTCCTCAGGGGGCCTCCACTGCTGCCACTGTTCATCTGGCTACATTTTTAGACTATTCATCAATTTCACCTCATTATGTTGGACAAACTTAACCTGCTTTGCAGGTTCACCACAGATTCTGCTGGCAGATAACCCAGTATTTGTTTTCATTAGCATCCATATCATGCTTCTGAACAGCATGACACTGTTTCTTTTCTTGTTTCTTTGGAGAAGGAATAATTTATTTTTGGATAAGGACCAAAGCTGGCCTAAAATATGAAGATAACAGAGGGGTTTTTTTTTTCATTCATTCTGCTATGCTTAGTTTATGAGAACAGTACCTTGGTCGTGTGTATATTTTTCTGTATGCTGTGACAAGAGATGACATCTCCCTTGTTTATCAACTTCCATATATGTGGTTTTGTTTTGTTTTGGTTTTTTCCAGACAGTTTCTACATCCCTCTGTATTCTTTTTAAAAGAATAGCAGGGACTCTTTATTACGTCTCTGCTCTATCTTTCAGATGCAGTATTTGCACAAGTATGTATTATCTGTATTGGTAAGAGTCAAAATACATGTATGAGATCCAGTGGTGAATTTAAATTAATTAACATACCGTTCCTTATATGGAGAGGATGTACAAATCTGGCAACTCTTCTCATGAAGTTCGAGTTGAAGAATTCTCATCCTGTGTAGGTCAAGGGCACAGCTTGCATTCAGTAGGGTGAATATGCATTTTGCTTGCTCAGTGCCCTAAACTAAGATAGGAGGTTCTTAACAGGACACTGGGTACTTTGCCAAATAAGCAAAGTTGAGGCAGTAGCTCAACTATTCCCATAATTATTTTTAGAGATGGTCAGAAACTGAAAAAGTTCATCTCTGTAATAATGCAAATAGTGATGTAAAAGATCCTGCACAATCACTTTAGTAATAAGCCTTTTCAAAAGACTACAATATTGGCCTGTCTGAGTAACCTGGCAAATGTTACACCAAAATGTGTAGTTTTCATTGTGTGCATACTGAAGTATGCCCACTTGAATAGTGGAGGATGACTTCTTTATTGTTGGCCTACATAGTCTTCACAGACCCTTCCCGACCAAAAGTATTTTGGTTGTCTAGGTATTGACTTGGAATCAGTCTTTCTAAACAATGTATGCAATTTGCTACCCCAAGGAGTTATGATGGTAACTAATATAGATGGCTTTAAAATTAAATAAAATAAGTTCAGGAAGGATAAAGTCAGTTAATCTGGTTATAGGGAACCTCCTGGTTCAGAGGAGAGATACTTCAAAATAACAGAAGCTGAAAAGCAATGGCATTTTGTGTTACTATTGTCATGCCATGCATGTAGGTCTCCTAGAACATCTGACTGATTATTGAGGGACGCATGATGCTGGGCTAGTTGTGCTTTTGATCTAATTTGATAGAAGTTTTCTTACCTCCTCAGTCTTATGAATGCAGGTGAATATCTTTGAATTTCCCTCTGTTCTCTAATTATGTGCTGTGCACATGTCCTTCTGAAGGAGGATAAGCATAGAAATATCAAGTGTTTGATCACACTAGCAAAAGTTGGGATGATTTCACAGCCTAAGGAATAAAACATGCACTTAAAAGATTAGTTTTTCCCTAAATAATTACTTTTAAAATGGGGATAATCACTTAGATGGCAATGGAGATAAATTCATTTTGTTTTTCAATCTCCCTTTTGGAAATTGTTGGTGTTTTGGAGGGAAGAGATCAGCTTAAATTGAGGACTGTTTTTCTTTTGCATAACATAGTACTTGAGTCATTGAACTGTTTGGATGGAGCCAGTTGCAGAACTTGTGTCAGTGAATATGTTTCTTGGGTTACATGTTTTTTTCTATGTCTTTTTCTCATTGGATATTGTGAGTCCAGGATTCCACACTTGTTGGCACCTAAACATCCATGTTCCAAATGGTCAGGATGGTTTTTGTACTATAGAAAAATCATGGTCCTATAGCAAGTTCCATTTTGGATGTAAGGTTAACTGTTAGGGAGGATATGTTGAAGAAATGTAGAAGAAAAGGAGATACAAGGAAAACCTAAAGAGACGATAGATAGATAGACAGACAGACAGACAGACAGACAGACAGACAGACAGACAGACAGACAGACAGACGCTAATAAAGGAGAATATTTGTAGTTCAGGATTGCCATGAGGGGCCCTTGGTGCTCTCTGAGTTTGCTTGTTTTCTTGCAGAAGTTTCATTATGCAAACTAGGTAACATCATCAGATGCTAGCACTGATGATGGTACCTAGTTTGGATAATGAAATGTCTGCAAGAAACAAGAAGCTCAGAAAGCACCAATGACCCCTCAGATAGATGATAGTCTAACCTCTAGGTGGAAGCAAAGTAACATAAACCAATTGCTGAAAGAAGGCCCAAGGGCCATCTCCACCAAGGGGTTTATGGTACAAAAAGCATACGCCTCAGTCTCAAACTTAGTGTGCTATCACAGATCATTCTCACTAAATGCAAAAAACAAGACATAGGCCTTGCATACGTTATAATTGGATAACTTGTCATCTAGTCTTCACCTGCTGAAATTCGCTCTTTACATAAGGGTTTAGGAACCTATTCTCTTTTGCATTTGGCCATTGCATTAAATACCCACGCATAGTATGAACCAATCTGTCATCTAACCAAATGTGGCTCACTTTTGGGGGGGGTGGAAGGTGGGGAGCTGCTTGTATATATTATTACTTTTAAAGCAGCCAGATTTTTTGGTTGTCAGTAAAAGTATATTTCTGCAGCAACAGATGTAGATAGAACTGCCATCCCCATTACTTATTTTATTTGAATTTTTTAAATATTTGGGCTTTAATCCTTAACTTAAAGTACCAGAACCAGTCCAGATTCTTCCTAAGACAATCAACAGCACATATGAATTTCATTCTATATAATTTAAGGCTAGACCTTAGGTTTTTTTTCTGTTTCCCTGTGACATTCATTTATCAACTGGTTCAGTAGTCTACACTTTAAACATATCTGTTTTGGATGATTCTTACAAGCCTTTTCACTGTTTTGAATTTATCTCATTTAATGCACTTCTGTTGAGAGATTTTCAGCTCCAGTTATTGCCAAGGTCTGTCCAAAACATGAAAAATATGTGTGCAAAAGCAATTTTTTTTACATATATGGCTACTTTTATTTTTTGAAATTGGTTCACTAGACTAGAGTGAAAATTGTAAAACTAAAAACAAGAAGTATTTCACATCCCAATACTCTGACCTCATCTAACACTTTACTTGAATCACTTCCTTCAACTGGCTTTGCAGCATGTCCTCCAGAAAAGTGGAAAATTGAAAGTAACATAATTGACAAAGCTTTTCATTCACATTTCATTCAAATTTCCAAGAGGGTTTAATGGAAGTTCCTGAAAAAATATATAATTATTATTGCAGAAAAAGTGGATATAAAGTGCATGTCTTCCTGCAGATCCAGGAAGAGAACAACTCAACTGTTAGAAGTGACTGGAACTACTTAGAAATCAAATGCTTAGTTGGACTTATCTTGCTCAAATGTGTCCCTCAATTTCTTCCTGTACTGTAGATGTATTCAACTAGGAGTGAAAAGTTGCAATGGAAGAAGGTCAGGCTGTTACCTGACTAAACCTTGCCTAATTCAGTTAAACCCCTAGAACAGTGGTGGCAAACCTATGGCACGGGTGCCAGAGGTGGCACTCAGAGTCCTCTCTGTGGGCACGTGTGCCATTGCCCCAGTCCTAGGCCTTCAGCTGGGTTTTATAAAACCTTTTCGCTTTAGGTCTCCGCCGCCATGTGCAAAAAAAAAGGTTCAATCAATCAGTCAATTTCAACTTCTCGCGGGGGGGGGAGATCTTGCAAAGTTGGAATTGATTGATTAAACTTTTTAGTCCCACCCAATCTGCCATTACTACCGCAGCCACGCCCACCCAATGGGCCACGGCCACCCAATGGGCCACACCCACCCGGCACCCGACGATGCATAAGTGGGTTTTGGGTTGCAGTTTGGGCACTCGGTCTCTAAAAGGTTCGCCATCACTGCCCTAGAAACAAGCCCCAGAAAACAGAAACCAATGGGAAAAAGCATAAATGTGGTAGGATTTTCTCCTGGGTTGTTATTTGATGTCAAAAGAACGTGCCATTGCAATATTGCCTTCTTATAGCAGTTTGCAATTAAATATAGTGCCCCAGCATCCTGAGATTGCAGCACTGAAATCTGGCAGCAAAATAGCTGAAATGTTGCTAAAGAAATTTTAGTCCATTTTTGGACATTTTCTGGGGGTTTAAGGATAAAAAATTTCCAGGTTTTCTTCTGAAACTTCCCACATCTGCTGGGTCTTTGCAGCATCCAGGTCCAATGGCATTTAGCAGTGTAAAACTCAGCACTTCCAATCAGATGCAGAGGTAGCCATT